TATATATATATATATATATAGAAGATATCATGTCTCTACTTACGAGGAAGGTAATGTACTAATGTGACAGCCAGTTGAGCAAACAATCATGCATGACCAACACGCGCTTCATATCGTCTCTTCTACATGCCTCTAGAGGAACACAACAAAAAATTGAGTGCCAATTTTTTATATCCAATTTGGACCGTCAGAACGCATGTTAAGTTGACGTCTATTTGAACAGTGTCTCAACTGAAATTGTTGGACCAAGTATTAATGTCTTGGTCAATAGTCTTAATAAAAGTTGAGCGTTCCACGATTCATGTAAACAAAAAGGATTTGACGTAGCATATCAACTGATAATAATGCGAAAATGTAATAGGCCAAAGCAGCTGTCAATATTGCCGTGGAAAGACTTGCACTCAACAACTATCATGCAACATCGTACCAAATATACATGTTATTTATTAGTTTTATATACACGGTAAGTGTACTACTTTTTGCATTGATAAATGATATTATGGAAATTAAGTTTTCGTTGTAATTAATTAGATAGCATAATTTGATAAAATAAATTTACACGTAAACTCAATTTTTTTCTCTACTTTTAATCAATCATTTTTAAAAAAAATCATTATCACAAAATTTATTTTTCCTAAAAAATGGGGCTCACACAAACCCTGATTATGAATTTTTCTTGTAAGCATATTGATTGTTTAAATAAATAAAAAAAAAAGCAAATATTTTAAAATTATCATAGTGGGAGATACGCAATATTCTAGTCCAAAACAGCCTCTTTTGGGCATCAACATAGGACCTAACTTTCGGTATCACAAAGATAGTAGTACCTCTGTACTGGATCTTATGATCTGTATGACATTTTTTGATGCGAAGACTCCTCGAAGGGGCAACTGCAGAGCATAATTATGATATTATTTAGATTTTGTTCTTATTATTCATATTAAGACTATCACAATCGTCTAAAAACTAAGGAAGAACGAGGAAAAACTTAGAAATTCATGGAAATAAGATAACTCAATATGGTTCCAAGATATAATTCTTTGTGCATACAATTATTTTTCCTTCTACATACACGATCATAGGGAGAATATCGAACGAGCCTTTATTGTTGCCCAAAACCATATTTGATAAAACTTAAATACTATTTTCTACACACACACTAGGTTGTTTAGTAGAATCTCAAGTATCCCATACAAAATTGTTGACCTCTTTATGTAGTGACAATTGTAACTCTTATATTAATTACTCACTATAAAATAATAATAATAATAATAATAATAATAATAATAATAATAATAATGATGATGATGATGTGTATTATGATATCACGAATTACAATATATATACTCGCCGTATATAGACTTGCATAAATAATTACTTAATACATGCATCCCTTAGCATATCAGCTTTTTTAAAAAAATATTTTTACACGAATGGATCGTCTCTAAGTCGTTCAAATATAAGGGTTCTTTTAAGTTCCAACATTTATTGGCAACTGG